GCACGGATTATTCATCCTTGATCGGTTCCATTCGGCAGAGTGCAGCTGATGTCAGTTCAATTCAAATAACAACAACACTAAACACCCGCAAACACGATAAATATTTCACAATCAAATGCATGAGACGTAAATGATTCTCTGTGAACAACTAACTATCACATTGTAAATGAATACCTCAAACAGCCACGACGCATACAGCTGATGCATCATGCATTCTTTAATTGAGTTCAATGCACCACAATAACAACTGACTTTAAATTATGGTCACAATCCCTTACCCGTCATAACTGAATAGCGTCCGTCACCTCAATTTGACCTAATTCTCGAAAGTCATCCATTTCACNTATCGTTACGCCTTAATTGAGTTCAGTTAAATGAACTAATACGACCCTGTGAGCGATACATAAGGATATAAACGGATATATATCATGAACGAAAATCCTGCACGGATTTTTTAAAATCATATTACGCAGTTTAAAATTATACCATATCAATCAACACACTCTCTCAAATTTTGCACCGAGTATAGCGTCACACTTTCTTAAAATAACAATCAATAAACACATAACAATTTCACAATACTAGTTCGTGCGAACAGAAATCAAATCATTGCACTGATTTTTTATTATTTGCCAAAGAAAGATCACAATTTCGCCGATTCACCAATGCTATTAGCGAGCGATTGAGTTGGTGCCTTCAAATATCTCAGTAAGGAACAAAGAGCCTGCGGCGTTACACCGGGTATCCTGAAATGAAACTGACGTTTCTACTAGATTAGATTAATAATCGATTACGTTTAATTATTAAGAGTATTATAATTTTCCAAGCGAAACACAAATAAACGAATATGACAAACCTTGAAGCAGCGGCAAGATTCTGCGGTCGCCAAATTTCAAATTTCTCTTTACACTCAAATGATAGACCATCAATGGTGGCGTAATTGATATCCTGCGGGATCAGAGTGGCACATTCACGACGCACTTCATCCATCTGAAATATGTACAGATACCTTTGAAACCTGACTATAAAACAGACCCACTCAAATAATGCTCATCTTCAATTGACCCAGTTGCAAGCTCGTTCCTCACAACTCAGGCTAACACACAATCTAACTCGACTTCCCTTAGCTGCTTCGACATATACTGACCAAAATCCGAACGCTATCAGTATAATTGGCCATAAACAATAACCTTAGCCGTAAGACGTTGATGTTGCTGCATATATATCCCCTCGTTTCGTATCCTTGTTATTATATCCTCATCATAGATGCAGTCTTTCAAATGAGTTGGGAATGCATTTGTCAGTTGAGCAATCGGTAGATCGAAACGATACAACATTTCATAGGCACTCAACACTGAAACACTCATCTATACCACTACACTGCTATGGCAATTAATCAAAATCAGATGAATCAATCAAACTAAAGCATCGGAAAAATACCGAATTAAAGTTTGCATTCCTCAATTCTAGAGAAAACAGAAGCATTAATTACTGTACTACCCAATAGACTCAGCTGTAAATGCCTCTGGGAACTACTCGAAATTTGTCATCGAACTCAACACCTTCGACACTTTGAAATCTTATTAGTTCAAACG